TGAAGAGGGGCCATGAACTGCCGTTAGTTACTCGGAATAGACCTATCATCATGGGCCAATTCGTTTTAGAAGGTGGGGTGTGCGATAGACTTATCTCCACCTGGTGCACAATGGGCAACGTATATTCATACGGCAAAAAGTCTCTCAATGGGCAGTTGACTTCTGACTTCAAACTGCCATGATCCCACTGTATGCCATATTCGACTACTTCCAAAGTACTCACCTCACCTTGTTTCCACCTTCGTCTTTGAAGCACTCTTCTGCCCCCCCCCCTCGACTTTTTTTCCACTTTGATATTCCTTCCCCTCTGTGAAGTCTGAAGTCAACTAAAGGGCTAATTATAACTATCAAAGCGCCTGCCATTTATATAAATAAATAAGTTTTAGAAGATTAATATTTCAATGACCGCATTCAGATGAAATAGCCTCTGATTTACCGTGATAGTGCTGATTCATTGTCTACTTCGACAACTGGATATAGTGACCAAATTGGAAGACACCCTCTTCAATTAAAAGCATTAAGGTTTTAATATTTGAATTTGAGCAAATGGCAAGATTTTCCACTAATGTTTTTGTCAATGCTAGCAGAACTCAAGGACCATTAGATTGATATTTGAAGAAAGAACAATTTTTCAGTTCATCTCATCAATGCTAAAAACAAAGTCAACGAATGATCAGAGTATGCTAATTGTGGGGGTTTAGTATCCGATCAAATTATGAGCGCATCAAGGTTATACATACGAATAAACAAAGCCACTTGCACGAATATAAATAACGATGCCTTTTTGATTTCGTACAATTAGTTCGAAACGATAGGTCAAAAGTTAGGACAGTCTGAAATCAAAGACAATATGCAGTGGAAATTGTCTTCACTTTCAATAATTCTTCTTTTTCTCACTCTTTTCAACACTTGGCAAACTGAAGCCATTGTTGTGCCAATTGAGAAACTGGAAGAGGACTTGTTCGTTGTTGATGATGAGGATGGTGATGAAAGTGGCAATGTGGGCTCCACAAGAGTTCCGACCGAGTCTCAAGATTTGGATCATAATAATGGGATTGAAGATATGATGATGGAGGAAACAGAAGCGGTGTTGATTCCAGCAGGTTGGAGAAGATTCCGTTCAAGAATAAGAAGTGGTCTGCGTCGAATTCGAAACATCTTTCGAAGAGTTCCGATTCCACTTCTTATTGGGATTCTAATCTAAATGTTGCTCCCTCTGCTTTATCCTCTAATTTGTGTAAATAAAGATTGGAATTTTTCTTCACTTATTTTCTATTACTTCTGCCAAAATAAATGTTGCTGTGAACAGAGCTTTATTGTTAGTAACCCATCTCTTTTTGTCGTCTGAGAACTGAACACTGCTCAAAAATGGAGACTACCAACTTCAATGCCATCACCATTCTTAGAGCAATTGCTTTTAGTGATACCCTGCATCATGTTTCTTTTTCTTTTGATTTATCATTTTGACCATTGTATCTTTATCTCTAATTGTAAGTTGGAAATCCGAACTTTGGTCAAAAAATCTCGAACTTTTTGCCTATCACACGTCAGCCTCCATTCTAACACAGAGATTCTACACATTTATTAGACGAATAAATAAGAAAGATAGAGATTGATATACGTTACCAAGAGAATAAATGAGAAATTAGGAAGTCGTAATTGAACTGGTGTTATTAAATACAACGTTTCTATTTGGTAGCTAGCAAACCATGAACGTGGATGGAAATCGATTTTCAAGATGTTGCTTCTGCCCAGTGAGCATAGAGTATCATAGATAATCATTTGTATCACCCGTTAACTAGAGCATTTAAATGAGGTTTGAGTCATTAATCGTAAACTGGGTCCACAAGAAAACAGTATTGAAGTTTTCCTATTGCACGACATGTTTAATCATTATGCCTCAGTATTTGGAGTGTGCTTCAACAGAAATAGTAGCATTCATCATGAATAATCAATGCGCTGTGATAATATTAGCAAGTAGGTTAAATACTGACACAGGATATGTTATCCATGTGCCGTTTCAATGCTTGGGTAGACAATTGAAAATAGAATGTCGACCACATAAGAACAATCAATACGTTACCACAAACTAATTATGGATTCGTGTTGTTCAACAAGGCAATATTAACCCTTACAGAATGTAATACCTGAATGAAGCCATATCCTAATTCCGTGAAAGACAAATAGGAAACATGAAGACAAAATGGCAAGGCGAAGATTAGAAAGTTTGATCTATGAGACGGTGAAGTTGCGAATGCCTCGAATGAAACTGAAATCTATTGACTTAGTGAAGCTCTGTAGAACGGAGTCATTTGAGTCATTTGGACTGCAGAGATGTGTCATTGAGTAGAAATCTGTAAAAATGACATCAAGAAATTTCTGGATTTCAAAATAAAGCTGTGGGACACTTTCAATCCGTTAAAAATAGTAAGCAGCATTGTTGCTTAATCGGATGGGCGAACTTTCGAAAAACCCGAGTAGTAGTACTTTTGAGTGAAAATAAACACCATGCTCAGGAATAGAAATTTCAGACTTAAATTATAGAGTTGATAAATTTCTTGTAAAGGGACAATTGAGGCTCATTGGTCTAGGGGTATGACTCTCGCTTTGAGTGCGAGAGGTCCCAGGTTCAAATCCCGTCTGAGCCCACGATGATATCTTTGGGGCTAATCATAGAGCCTGCGATCATCTGTAAATAGATATAAATGAGGCGTTGGAACTCTATGAGATGCATAAACTTTATCTAGTATTTTATCCACCTTATTCTCATTGTAGGAATGTTATCATTTTCAAATTAATTACTTTACGCGTATAGGACCAATTTAGGAATTGGCATTCATTAAAAGTCAGGAAACATTTTTCGAGTCACTTTTAGCCCCAGAACTCAAGATCAACTTTAGTTGTTACCAATATTGGAAAAAGTGATTTAAGATTGGAATACAAATAAATTTGATAATTCAATTTGTCGCATGCTTTATTATTAAGAATGCGGCTTCAAATAAAACATTCATATGCGTGAGCATATGATTCAACTTAATTTTGAGTTTGATCATTTGTCTTTTGAATATAGACTCACAATCAACGTTGTGAGCTATTAATAAAAAATAAAGTGAATGAAAATAAATTCCTTGGGTAAAATAACATCAATTCGTCCTTGGACTAAAAATTGCATAAATGATCAATTTTTTCAAATAACCCACGAATTTTTTAATTTCTTACAAATGGACTCCTTTAATTCGATGATGAAAACAATTTTTGCTCCAAAAATTTGTCAAAAAATTGTCAAACAATTGTGTAGGGATGTCGATATTGATGTGGGTAGTATATGCACATGGGAAAGACTATGAATGAGTGGAATAATTTCTGACCAATTTGAAGTCACCCTGTATGTAGAAGGCACATTTCTCTCTATTATGACGAAGGTATCAGGTTGAGGTATTAAGAGAGACGAAATTGAGTATCGGTATCAAACAGACAACGCAAAACAGATTTATTTATTAGAGAAATATCCCAAATGCGAATTCAATTGTTCGAAATATTCCTACAGTTCTGTGACGAATGCTGAATTGCCAAAGCTTCATTGCACAGTTTAATCATTGAAAAAAGCATCCTTCAACAGTATCTCCGCGGCCAAAAACACGTTTCAAGTGTTCCTAATAAATGTGATATTTCTAGGTGTCCCTTCTGCTTACAATAATAATACTACTCTTGTAGGTATTACCATGTGTCACCCGTTTTGACTTAAATTCTTGACTGGATAACTACCTCATCTCGGTGAAGTCCGCTATTGAACACACGCGTGCTACCTTATACATCAATGTGAAAGAATAGACGGCTTTAAGTGTAGCAAAGCTTGTCATGCTTAGTGGCCATGGTATTAACACAGTTCATGCTCACGAATTTACTTCCAATTTAATTAAATTACAGATATCACCTCTAGTGCCAGTAATTACCTCGAACCCACCTGTTACCTCAGCTCATTAAATTTTTTTTATTAGTACTTCAGTTTATCCTAATATATTTTTGAATTATTATGGTATCGATGTAGGCCACTTAACATTTTTTCGGCGTGTTTGTTCAACAAAAATGGTAAAGCTGGTGAAGCATTGTAGTGCTAGAATTAGGCGTTGTAGCAAGACCGACCTTTATACTGCAAAAGCCAAGGGTTCTAAAATTCCCTCTTAATAAACATTAATCTTTGACGATGGTAGTGGGATAAATACCTGAGAATGTGGCAGATTATGAATGTTTTGGACAATTTCCAAGAGTAATAAAGTAAGTTCATTATGTTGAAATCACATTGTTCTCTTTTATCACTAAGGGGGCAGATTGAAGTATGTGGAGCGAAAGAATGGAAAGGCGCTTTCTAGCAAACAGTACAAAAGATTGGTTATTTGTGATATAAAAAAGATGTGAAAATAAATGTTCGAGAAGTTTCTACTCCTCTATGCCTAACACGATTGAAATCAAATTGTATATATCACCTCTAGTGTCAATTTTTACCTCGACAACAACTGTTGTCACTGCGAATATCTTACTAGCTCTTGGAATGTTTTAAGACATTGTGGAATTGCAAATAATTTATTTTTATTATTGGGAGAGGAAAAGCATGGCACAGAGAAAATGGCCTCAGACTTCTATTATTTCACTCTTGTTGACTTATATTGTGGAAAAGTAGTTGTCAATAAAGTCCAGATAGCATGCCTAATATAACGGCAATTGGCCACTGTTATTGAGTGTCTCGTGTATCTTGTTAGGTAGAAGCGTATTAAGCGTTAGTGACGAGTCAACAGGAGTGTTGGATACAAGTGATAAGCTTCGTGATGTAACATTCCATCCACGACACCGCTCCTCTATTTTTCATTTATAAGTCAACGTCTCTGCCTTGCCTTTCCGTTTCGACTGTTAACAAAATCTCTGCAAGCGCATTAGAAGCTCAATTTGGAACACTTGATTTGAACAGAGAGAAGGCATCTCTAGATCGATCTTACCAAAATATCTATTTCTACCACTGCACAGCGTGACCAACTTCACCATATTTTTTAAAAAGCACACCATCGTATGTTCATTTACATGACGCGATATCGTGTTTATTGCTTTACACGCCAGCGCATTGGTCAATACTAAATTATGTCTTTTTGAATTTCATTTAACTGTCCTCTTCTCTGACTAGTTACATACAGCTTCGGTAGTTCAATAGCTTTAAAAATGATGAATATTAATTAACTTCAAATTGATCATTCCAATTCAATGCTTGTAATAGCAAAATATAACACGTGTAAACTTTGTAATCTTTGCACCTGTCTCTGACACTAATCCTTAATAATTACACCTGATTGTTGAGCAATTATCTGAAAGACTAAAACAATTTTACAAGGACATCAATAATATTTAGGATATCGTAATTCAAAAATTTAATTTGTGATATTCCATAGCATTATGTTTTATGCAATTTGCTGTTATATATTCAATTTTAAAAAATGCTACTTTTGTCTAATAAGTTTTCTTTCTTACTCTCTTTACCGAAATCGGAAATAGTACACACCCTAGTAATCACAATATTCTGAATAATAGTATTTGTTGACTTAATTAAAATATTTTTATATGGTTGAGAAACTCCATGTGCACTACTCATTTTTGTGAACTTTGACATCTTTTTAGAAATACTCTAATACACCGTTTGATTAAAAATTCTGAACCTTTCTTTTGCAATTAAAATTTCTTATTCGAAAAATAATACCTTGGCTAGATAATTCGGAAGGATACGGCTAACATTACAATGCTTAGTTAATCTCTTCCGCTTCTATCAAATTTACTGCTGAAAACATATTTCGGATTTACTAGGATTTTAATCTTTAAATAAAGATAGGCAATATTTTTAATGCGAAAATTCAATGTTTCTATAATAATTATTTGGAAATCTATTCAATTTTTCAGTTGGTTTGGAAATACAACACTCTTTAAGAGATTTCCAGATCAAAAGGAAAGGACTTTGTGATCCGCCGAGCACCTCAAACACAACTGTGCAATATAAAAGACATAAAACTAGATATGTCTTATGTTTAAGCATGGTCATGGGTTTGCCGTGATAAGATCTTGAGTTGTTATGGATCATCACTTTTCATTTTCCGGATTCTAGCAATAATGAGTATTCCCTTTGTCTGCCAATACAGCCGTTCCTCGCCATTTGATATCCGATTTCGT